TGAACTGAGCAAGCCCAGCATCGCTACCACGCCAATGAAGACACTAGTCAGCTGACAGCCTCAACTTCGAGTATAGACCTCTCCACACTGTCAAACACCACTCTTCTATACAAATTCAAGATAGTGCGTGTCTCCATTGAATCTTATCAACCGCGTCAGCTTAACCTTATTTGAGCAGCTTACTACAGTGAAGTGCGTCGATAAGGAACGGGCGACATTTTATATTCTACGACAAGACATGAATCCTCGCTTGTACCCATTGTGTGCCAATTGTACTGAATTAGTTATACGATTCTACCAATCATTCGGTCCCGTTTAACATTCCGCCAATCACAGTTCCGAAACCGAGCCTCAAGAGCGGCTGGATGGAGCGGCTCCCAAGTCGGGGAAAATGGAACCTAAAGGTCGCGAGAGGGAATCATGAGCATGAGGATCGCTGTGAGCGCGGGAATCGCGCCAGGTACATGTCTGCATGCCTCATTAACCAACTTTCGCTCTGCTGCTCACAACTCCCATGGTGACCGCCACTTCCAGACCGTTCCAGAGGCGGCTACGTCTGACCAAGCTTCAGTCGCTGCTAATCTGTCATCGCCGTCGTGATCTACCGGGTGCTACCTATGCTGAGTTGGCTGCGTGGGCTCAAGCCGAGACTCTGGTCGCGAAGTCCGACATGAACTACATAGTGCAGTAAATCAGTGCATTTGCTGTCTGCATGTGACGAGTCAAACCTTTAATTATCAATATACCTTTTTCTTTCAATGTATATCAGGCGTTCCTTATCGACGCACTTTACTGTACCGGTAGGCGTTATTCGAGCTGTTCAATGGAGTTAGTTCATTTATTACGCTTGAAACAGCTCTCCACGAGTTTGTTACCAATCTTACCGATAGCTTACCGGGTGCGGCTATAATTTTGACCCGACCCAAAGTCGGTTTTTCGTCCATTGCAAAAAAACGGTTACAGCTTTTTCGATTCTGATTGTTGCATCTGTTTTCTATCGATTTTAGACGAATCATAAGCAGCGGTTTGGCGCCGAAAGCACAATCATTGGTTTAAAAAAATAATTTTTGGGGTGCGGTTATAATTTCGGCGCGCACTGTATATCACGTAGATGCGGTACCGTGTTTCTGGTACAAAACTGAGGGAAGAAAAATCCAACCGGCCATTTCCACATTTCCCCTCCAAGCCTTGTCCTGTAGCGCCACCGCCCACCGGGACTAGCAGGCATGCCCGCGCCCTTGCCAACGTCGTCATGATACTACTGCCGCATTGCTGACTGTGTACTGCTGTGCTGCTGCAGATGGACATGTCCAGCCAGTTGGATCCCCAGGCTTTGGCCGCGTTCGTGGACGACAGTGTCTTTGCTCAGATGAGCGGGAAGCTTGGAGCAGACGCATCGCCAAAGAAAAATCTTTTCGTTGCGTGGATGCTGGACAACTATCCCAACAAAGCCACACTCCTACTCGAGGCCTCCCAGAACCGGATACATGGATTGATACGGGTGAAGATCAGAGAAGCATACGGGCATACACGCGTGTCTCCACCTCTTGTACAAACTATTGCGGCCAAGACGGTGAAAGACCTCCTGGCAAAGTTTGTCCCTGAAGCCCGCTCCGGCACGCCCAAGTTGGATGAAAATGAAATGAAGCGAATCGCGGAGGCGTTCACCAAGGGCCGGTACCTCGGCGAAGCCCACCTCGACCTCGCACAGTATCTGCGGGACTGCTGGAAGGCCTACACCCCCACAAAGTACAAGGCGCCATGTGTGGCGGTCGTGCAGAGTTCTGGCTTCGGCAAGAGTCGGATGGTGCGTGAACTCGCGATTGAGGCTCAAAAGAGCGCCTTGAACATGAAAGTCCTGTACATGTGTGCTCGTGTGCACGAGTCGACGGGGTTTCCCAAGGCTACGAGCGAGCTTCGTGGTTGGCTGTTTCAAGAAGGCTCCGAAGTGGAAGACATCGCCAGTCGATTGAAGACAATTTACGTCTACGCGAACAAGCATTGGGCGGACGTTCAGAAGGAATGGCTGAAGCTGTTTACCGAACAGGCAGCGGACACCTCTGTAAAGGCGAAACTTTCGGATGAAACAGATACGCTGGAGGGGGATACCTCTACTGAGAAGAATCCAAATGGCAGAATCGTGGTTCTGGTGATCGATGAAGCGAGAAGTCTGCTGGCTGAGAAGGGAGGCAAGAAGAATGACTTCCGAATGTTGCGAAATGCTCTCAGATCCGTGAACAAAGATATCGGCCATCGTGGATGCATTTTCGGCGTGCTGATTGATACGAACTCCAGGATCTCGGACCTGGCGCCTCCGCTGTTGTTGGACCCATCATCTCGGCTTTTCGATGGAGAGTTGGCATCGTTTGCGCCAGTTGTGTTAGCTGAGACAATGGACGCACACTGGGATCAATACTGTGAAGAAAACGCAGCCGGCGAAGATGAAGAAATGAAAGAGGACATCCAAGATGTAGATGAAGAAATGAAAGAGGAAATACTAGATGCGGGAGCAGAAGATGAAGAAATGGAAGAGGAAACTCAGGTTGCGGTGGGAGCTGAAAAAGACGAAGAGAAGAAGAAACAGCAAGAGCGTGCTAAGATAGCTATGTACAAGAGAATCGTTACCGGGGATGCGAGTCAAGCTTGGCACGCGTTGTGCCGCATGGGGCGTCCGATGTGGTACAGCACTTGCCCCAATCCTGCGGATAGAGAAGATGTGATCAATCTTGCGGCGAACAAGCTGCTACTGGGGATTCCCCCTTCGCAAAATGCGTACAACAAGGATACCATGCTTGGTGTCGCCTCCATGCTTTGCCGTCTGGGCGTGCGCCCGCATTCAACGTCGGCTCTGGCATCTCGGGCGACTGCCGACTTCATGGCGATTCTCGCCTATGTGAATTTCAAGCGAGAAGGTTACGTCACCAGCTACGCTTCGGACCCAGTGCTCGCCTTAGGAGCGATGAAAGTGTGGTATGAACTGAAACATGGTTTGGCAAAGTATATCCTGCCGCAACTCAAGAACCTCCTTTTGGATGAAGCATTGGACACCGGTGGAGTTGGCGAAATTGGCGAGATGGTTGCTCGGATTTTGCTGCTTCTGGCGATGGACACGTGTGTGATGGGGGACAAAGACTTTTCCCAGTGCTGCCACACGATCGGGCAATTTGTACCGGTGCAGCAATTCTTGAAGGTGCTACAAGGCAAGAAAAAGCTGCCGATATATCTCAAGCGGATGATCAGCAAGGAGAATTTGAGACCAGAATTCAACAAGTGGTGCTCGAAGTGGGATGGTTGGTACATGGGGTTCACCCACTTTGTGCAGTTGCAGCTTGAGCCGAATGAGGACACGCTTTGGTTTTTGCTGGGGCGTCAAGCTGCAGGTATTTTCCCCCGTAACCAGTATGGAGCCGATTTGTTGATCCCGATGTTTAAGAAGAGATCCACCAGCAGGCCAGTCGGTGGGGAGACAACGAGGGGTGAACAAGAGGAGCAGGAAGTGTTGATGATGTTGATTCAAGTGAAGAATCGTTCCCCAGTCGATGGTGGGTTTTCCAGGGCAGCGACGGAGAAACTATGCCCCTGGTTTGTGTTCGGAAAGAACAGTGATGGGAACTCGTCAGCGGGGAAATCTACCGGTGCAATTGGTAGGGATCCGAACCCGCTGAGCTCCACGGATGTCCGTGATACCATTCGCATCTACATGAATGTGCGCGGTAGAACGCGTGACGGCAAGTTCATCTATGCCACGACAATGAAAGACAATCTTAAGCCCAAGAAGAAAGGCAACGCCTCTGAGGTGAAGGAGGAGAGTCAGGCGAAGAAGCGGGCGAAGATCGAGAGCAATCCTGGCGTCTCAAGTGTGTCGAGTGTCTCGGAGGAGGATCCTGTTTTCACGATCTGCCTCCGTTTGCTCAACAGGGTCACCTACCCGTTCCTGAGCGAGGACGTGGCTTCCATTCTATCAAACATGGTGGAGTCTCAGTATGACCCGCTGGGGCTTGTGGAGGGCGACCTGGACTATCGCGATGAAGATGAAAAACGAAACAAGAACGTTAGTTCGTATGCAAAGTTGTCGCTTACCGCGACGCGCGACAAGTTGTTGCAGAACGCCCGTAAAGCACTAGCGTACGCGCCGGGTGACAAGGAAGAAGAGTGACGCTGAGAGTGACGTTGGTGGCAGTGGTGAGGGCCACTAGGCGATCAAGGTGGCGAGACGGAAACATCCAAGAAACGAGCACGTGAAAACCAAGAGGGTGAAGAAGCCGTCCCACTAAACGCGCCAAGTGATCCAACAAGACGCCCAAGCCCACACGGAGGCAGTAACAGTACGTGCCTGGTGCCTGCAGCAACTACCGGTAGTTTTAACTACCAACAATTTGTTTTACTTGAGAGTACGCAGCCACCTCCAGTACGCTTCACCTTGCAGTCTTACGGAAGTAGCACGTCTTTTGCTGTCTACGTCGTCTTTACTGCTCTACCTACTCGTCCTGCAGGAACGGGTATTATAGTCCGTGTACCCGCGCGCGTCGCCGAGGTAGAACGTGTCCGTGTCGTAGTCGTTCACGGGCTTGTTGAGTTGGAAGCGCCGCACCAGGTCCGGGTTCGAGATGAAGTGGCGGCCGATGGCCACGGCGTCGGCCGCGCCCTCCTCCACGATCTGCACGGCCGACTGCCGGTCGAAGCCCGACGCGGCGAGGAGCACGCCCTTGTACGTCTCGCGGAACTGCCGCGCCGAGCCCTTCTCGGGTGTCAGCGGGTCACGCACGTGGTAGCCACGCGGCTCGATCAGGTGCGCGTAGGCCAGGTCGTAGTTGTTGAGCCTGTTCAGCACGTACGTGTAGGTGGCGACGGGGTCCGAGTCCTTGTCGCCGAAGCTGCCGCCGAACGGGGACAGTCGGATGCCCACCTTGGACGAGTCCAGACTCTCGAGGATGGCCTCCAGTGCCTCGAACAGGAAGCGCGCGCGGTTCTCGACGCTGCCGCCGTACTGGTCGGCGCGGTCGTTGATGCCGTCGTGCAGGAACTGCTCCAGCAAGTAGCCGTTGGCGGCGTGCAGCTCGACGCCGTCGAAGCCCGCTTTGAGGGCGTTCTCCGCGGCCGTGCGGTAGTCCGACAACTGCAGGAACATCTTGCCGTGCACGGCCTTGGTCACGTGGCGCCAAGCCTCGATCTGCTGGGGCGCGAAGATGTCAGGGGAGCCCCAGGATCCGCGGCCCGTGGGCGTGATGTTGGTGGCCCCGGCGATGATGAGGCCGCCGGGCGCCGCTCGCTGCTTGTAGTACTCGACAACTGCAGGATTTCTCGACGTTTTCCTACTGCGTTTTTGACGCAATACGAACGATGTGAAAGTAGAGTATCGCGGCGATATATACGTTATGGACACCAGGGCCTCAGAGTTTTAGTTTTTCACACTATTAGAACGCCTAGGCGTTGTATTCGGATAGACCGCCTAGTAGGCGTTCTATTTTATTTCAATGCCTGGGCTTCTGGTACGGGGTAAGACAGTAGCAGGCATGCCCCCATTCTCGCCACCGCCGCCATGATACTACTGCCACTTTGCTGACTGTGTACTGTTGTGCTGCTTTGCAGGTGGACATATCCAGCGAGTTGGACTCCGACACTTTGGCTGCGTTCGTCGACGAGAGCGTATTCACTCAGTTGAGCGAGGAGCTTCGGAAGACGAAGAATGGCGACGATCAGCCATTGGCGAAGAGAAATCTTCCTATGATGAATTATCTGAAACAATTTGTCGACCCCAGCAACCTCCGGGGCTCCCAAAAAAACAATAGATAGCTTAACCCTATCGTTACCAGAATGATACATCAAGTATCTTTTTACTGGTGATGCAGGAGCAAGATAACTGAAACAGCAATTTTCTGAGCCACGACAGTTTCCTCGCCGTTTATGACCAATCATACAGCTAAGAGGGATAGGTAAAACCCCACGCTATTGTGTCTTCTGTAGTATATCTATCAACACTATTGTGTCCCCAGGGGCACGGATGCGATCGTCGAGCACAACGCCAGCGGCAGCCGCACACAGGTCGCCGCCGGAAGTAGCGGCCGCAGTGCCGCCAGCGACATCGGCAGCAGGGTCTCGGACACGATGGAGGTGACCGTGGCCTTGGAGGACGCGGTCAGGGGCGTCTCCGCCGACATGGACACGGACACGGACGCGATGGTGGCGGGGGACTCGGGCAGCAAGCATAACGGCGGTCGCAGC